GTAAATAACCCCCCCCCCCCCCCCCCCCACTCCACTGCCTACCCTGTCCTGCCCCACTCCCTCCTCACAATCGCCACCGCCCCCTGCCTGCTGTCAATGGGAAGGGGGGGGGGGGGGGGGCATGTGGCGGGGGGGAGGGGGGGGGGGGGGGGTTATTTACTGCGACTTAGCTGCTTCGCCTCATTTCTTGCATATTCCGCATTCTGGGTCCAGCGCGAGACGAGCTGAGCAAGGAGCGGCCGCTGGACCTGCGACGTGTAAAATTTACCACGGGGGTGTCAGGCATTTCGAACTTTGGCTCCAAAACAGCCAGGCAGCCTAGGGGCCGTGGAGAGGAGGAGGCCGCAGCTGGCCGGCCGGAGCTCAGTGCCGCGGAGAGCGCCGTCGAGGTCGCAGCTCAGGGATGCAGCCCTGCCCCCTAGCGCCCCTCCCCCGGGGCCCGAACAGAGACGCGCCGTCCGGGATTCTGGGAGCTTCCCCATGCTTGCGCGCCCGCGGCGAGGCATGAGCAACGTCGGTGACTTGTCGTTTGGGACGCGGAGATTCGGGAGCATGCTGCTCGCTGCACTCGCCACGCTGCTGGTCCACCTGGCAAGTGGCGGGGACCCCTGCAGGCCCGGAGGACCATCTGCCACCGGCAACGGGACCTGCCCAGGTGAGTAAAACCCACTGCAAGAGCAACCTCCCCAGTTGGGGCTAAGATCTCAAAACTGACCTGTCGTGGTTACTAGCCAGGTCTGTGCCTTTCATTGCTAAGCATTGGTAAGCTAATAGCTATAGCTAGCTGTCATGTAACAGCCATAGAAATTCATTAAAAAACAATCGAAAAAAACACCAGTGGAATGCGGCTGCTCTTACGCATAAGGAATTCAGTTTCTTACACATTTCTGTTGAATATAAAATTATTCATGCATGTGTCAGTGAGCCAACATCGCATGAAATGCTACTGGATGCACTGTGATACTATATTGCCATTCAGATTCAGTGCATGTTTGACTGTCGAGTCCATGTGCTGGACTTTACCCGTTACTATGTCCTGGGTGAAATCTGTCAAAAAGAAATGAAATATTTGGCCACTGCATGGAAATTTGGGAGATTTATGTTATTCACACCACTAATAACATTTTAATGCTTTTTCAGAAGTAATTATACTTATATTATTTTTATTGAGAGTTTGTCGGCATGAAGCAGATAAGGTCTTTACCTTTGAGGTAATACGCCCAGGAGTCCTGAATGAGCAAAATTATTCTCCTGGAAAAATAGTCCAGATGAAAGTAAAATGGTGCGTCAGAGGGGCTGGCTTGGGATACGGTGTGAGGTGCTGGGCGTGTGAGCTGGATCGCATCCTGCTTCACTGTCTGGGAGGCTCTGCCACTGGCCACGGTCTGCTCCCCTGAGGCAGGGAGACGGGACCTACCCTGCTTGCCCCCTGTAGGGGAAAGGGGCTTCGGTTGGGGGACTGAGCCAAAAGCTTGTAGGATCTGCGCACCACAGAATGGTTTTTCACTTTTAGTTATCAGTAAGATGTTTATCTGAATCAAAAATGGCAGAATGAAGACCCACCTGGTATAAGATTACGTGTCGGTATCCATTATTCTTTTGAAGGAAGGAATAACGTGTTTCTACGTCACTGCCTGAAATGACGGTAAAGATGCAGATCTCACCAGCTATTTCAACTCACCACTCAAGATATAATGTTGGCCGGTCTCCCGTTTGCAAAGGACCCCTAAATTCATTTGTCATCGCGCCCCAGCAGGAACTCCGTGACAGATCCGTGCTGGTCCACTTGCCCCACCCCCCCCCCTCCCCCAGGGACCCATCAGCTGGACACTAACACAACTGATCTTGCCTGTGAAAGTCCACTAAGGTTGGGACTGTGAACACAATGGTCCTTGGGGCCAAAATTCGAGGACCAGATGTATGATTGATGTCCTGCTCTTTCACCACAATGTGCGAGATTCTCACTTCGGTCCCTTTTTAATCATCCAGATTTTTCTTTTAAGCAGGGGCGTCGTTAGGCCTATTTTAGGGGGGGTTTAGTCCCCCCCAAATAAATGTATATTTATTGGCTTAAGTCATGATGACCAGCCCGCTGTTCCATTCATCTCTAACTACATCCCTGCTTTTAAGTAAATTGGTCCTTTTGCCAGAAGCCACATACTACTGGACACACCTTGATCTGAAAGACCAAATCAGCCACTAGATGTTGGATGTTGACTCCTTTATTTTTGCTGGTATGGAGATCTTCCTAAACTTATTTGATGTTACTTTAGAGTAGAGCATCATGTCTTATCAATACGTAAGTAAGGCTTCTTACCGTGTGTAACATGCACAGTGCTTTTCGAAACCTTATTTTGAAACTCTATGATCACCTAACAATATTTTCTGTAAACAATGAGCAGCTCAGCATCCTCCTTTCATTCATGGTACACAATGCTGTCCATTACACATTTTTCCCATGACCTTTTAAAATCGCTGCATAAGCTCAAAGATATTTGTTTACACAGTTTCATTAGTTTATATTGTTTGGCTAGCAGGTTCTGTTGCTAGGAAATCGAGGCTTTGCCCTTAAACAGTCCAGGCTGCTGTGAGTCTCGCGTCATTGTAGGTGTGAATGGACTCATCACTGAGGAACATTGATTTACCGCATTTAACAATGATGTCACTAGCGGAGCACAATAGGAGCGGGGCTGGGGGCGTGACCAGGGGGCGGGGCTTGAAAGATAAGTACAAATGTTCCATTATGTTCCTCCTCATGTCCGAACATTAACACATAATCTTATTATAGTCCTGTTCAGCTGCCCATTACCAGGACAGAGCACAATATTTCATTACCGTTTCAGACTACACATTCCGGAATTCTCTAAAGCAGCCGCGTTCCTGGTTTGTAATCGAGCACATGTCCGTCAGCAGCATCGTCTTTGCTTCGGAAATGATTTCCCAGCTACTGGCTTATTTTGTGTTTTCAGTGCAGCATGAGTCTCCTACTCATTACTTATTCTCATTGCAATAAAAATGTTGGTCAGAACTTGGGGGGATGAAGTGGCGGCAGGTCGGTGACACTGGGGTGTGTTTGACCTTTCTGTCCTTTCGAGGTCTAACCTCGACGACCTTGAATTGAAACCCCTGTCTCCCCGTGCCCCTCAATTAGCCCCCGAGGCCTATCTCATCTTCAGCTACGGCCAGGCCGTATTCCGCATCGGCGCTGACGGGGGGGCTCAAAGGAGGCTCCTGAGGGGCGCCGGGGCCGTAGCCCTGCTGGACTTCCACTACACGGATGGGAGGCTTTACTGGGTTGACACGGAGTCGGGGATCATTCAGAGGACACTGTTGAATGGGACGCGTCGGCAGGTAGGCCTGGTGACCACGAGGGGCGATGTCTGGAGTGTGGCACCGTGACCTAAAACATACTTCGTCTGACAGTGTTATGTATTTAACTGTATGGTCTGGTTCACATCCCGGGGACCTCCACAGGCTCTTACGGACAGACGATTTAATGCAAAATGACATCCTTTGATTGCATTTGGAGTAGTATAAACATTTTCAATGACAATGTTTAACGGATTGTTGCATTAAATATTGCTGCTGTTTGTGTTATATGCTTCACGTGTAAGTCGCTTCGGAGAAATGCGTCTGCTACAGTAAATATGTTAAATGTATATATCATGCAGCACCTTTAAGTGCCTTTATGTGCCTTTTTGTTTATATGTGCCCCAGAAAGTCCACTCAGCAGGAAGGGGCATAGCAGGATTTGCTGTGGACTGGATCCGGAACCAACTGCTCTGGGCCAATCGAGACAAGGGAACGATAGAAGGAATCGATTCAAACGGGAAAAATCTGAGGACGGTTTTAGCAAATCTGTCCAACCCCAGCAGTATTGCAGTGGATCCAAGCAACAGGTATGGTGTCACTGGTCCTTAATCAATTTTTATGTAGCTTAAATCTCTACAGTGGAATTTTTTGGAACCTTGACATAATAGGTATGACTAAAGTACTTAAGTGGATCCTTTTTGTTTGATCCATTTTCTTTACACTGGTTAAGGTGCTTGGTTCTGTTAGGATACTTTTGCCCATGATCAAAGGTGGCTGGTTCAAATCCAATGGTTGGTGGAGTGATATTTTTGGGCCCTTGAGCAAGGCCCGTATCTCCAGTTGCTAAAGGGAGTGGCCATCCCTGCTTTCTCAATAAATAAATATGTATACATAAATTAATTCAAATACTTTTATCAGTAGAAGTAAAAATGTCTCATTGGCATGGGTGGTCACCTGGCATGCTGGGCATTTTCCTGATGGACTGACGACTATATGAGCCAGCAAAATCTATCATGGGGGATCGCCCCCTCTCCCCACACACAGACACCCCCAGTCCCCACCCCAGTTAGCAAAATCCAGTCCAGCTCTGTTCTTTGGACAGCTTCAGGATTGGGTGCCATGATTACTAGGTGCTGATGTGGTGAATTCCAGCAAAGAAGGTTATGAGGGTACAAACAGCCAGACACAGACAAATCTCCCCCAGGTCCCCATGTCTGCCGTGTTTGCGATGAGGCTGCAGCCATAAATGAGTGCATTCCTTCAAACATGGCTGGCACATAGGTGCAAGCTGCCCAGCTGGGACTCAACCCCATAAGGCCTTGTGTGACACCCAGCCCTGCTTTCGCGTTTGCATTACAGCCCCCCTCTTCACACACATTACTCAGGCCGGCCTGTGTGGGCTTGCTTCTTGGATTTATATATTGTCTGTGTTTCCCAGATCATCAGTGTTGGCACAGCCCTTAACATGGCCTGGATTCATTGAACTTAGTTGTGGGATCAATCACAGAGATAAAGAAGGCAGAAGGGATATTTATGGAGGCTCCCCTTTTTAATATTCATGCAATATAAAGAAATTTGTGAATTTTCTGTGCAGTTGTTAAAGTTTTTTGGTCACTTACATATATATAATTACTAGGGCTGTCAATCGATTGGAAAAAAAAATAATTGCACATTTTGCAGTGAATTAATCGCAATTAATCATGATTAAAAACTTGTTTAATGCATTAATTATTAAGCCCTAATAATTGCGCCTGTTTTTTAACACTCTGCATTATATTTGGTAAGAAACCAAAAAAGTTTGATCGAGTCAAATCAGAGAGTGGTATTTCCAACAGTGTCAGATTTGATAATAAAGATTTCAGTGTTTGCAGTTTTATCACTAATTCAGCAGTGCACTGCCAATCCCTGAAGGTCAGTGCCACTTAAATCTCACTGCCTTTCCACCTAGGTTCATATTTTGGGTATCAGACACCTTAACTTCAAGCATACAGAAGTCAGGCCTGGATAGTGGGCCGACCATCACCATCTTAAAGACTTCCAGCAGACTCGGGACACTTTCCCTAGACGTGGCGGACAGGAGGCTCTTCTGGGTTCAGTCCAGTTTAGGTGGCAGGGCTACCATTGGCTCTTGTGACTACAATGGGAATACCATCAACCTCATGAAGCAGCCGCCCCAGTAAGCAGGCGCACACCGCAAATACATTTAAACACACATAAATGCTATGCTTTGGGAAAACTACTTGTTTTTGCAGAATTTACATATATGGATAATTCCAGCATTATGAATATGACATGTAGACTCATATTAGCAAATAATATGCCTCAGAACAAGCACAAGCTCAGTATCAATGAGTCAATTTTCTTGCATATCTTTCCATGTTGAATATAGACGAGAGAAGTTCTCTGTTTTCGGCTTTGGTGAATCTTGGCAATTACATGCCGAAGTAAGATGTGAACTGTATCATCTTTCTGCTTCTTAACCACCTCCCCCCACCACCCCCCCAGCTCACGACCTCTGGGGATGTCTGTGTTTCTGGACAATGTGTACTACACCGACACGAAGGCCCGGTCCATTATACGGGTCAGTAAGCACACAGGTGACAAAGCAGTGAAGATCACCCCCAATTACATGCCCAAACCCCCTGTCTCCGTTAAAGTGGTACATCCCTTTGTCCAGCCCCTGCCAAAGGCTCCACCCACCACGCTCAAAGGTCAGAGTTCACACCTGTCGCTTTACCGCAGCTTCCTTGTAAAATGGCTGTTGTCCATGTAACATAAAAACTGCTTAGTAATTGTATTATTTAGACTTAGACTGTCATCTGTATACTTCAGTATAACATTCATTTTCGAATAATTATATGCAAAGAATATGTAGAATTCTGTACCATACCTTAGTGCGGACAAGAAGGTTGTGTGTATCTATTCGCTTTAGCAGTATTGAGAACATTTTGCAGGAGCTTCCTCATAGTCATGATTTTTCACATGAGACATTTTAATATGTGCCAAGATCTGTTGTTTTACTCTATCCTGGAATGACACCAGCTTTACCAGGTGGCCTGTCCTCCGACCTCGATGGAGGTTGTGACGTGCTGACGGGGGACTGTGTAAGCGTGTGCACTGCTCACGCCACCACAGCCGTGTGTCAGTGCCAGGACGGGTTCACGCTCAGCGGACACGGCAACTACTGTGAAGGTAACCGACTGAAGGATCCAGATTTACTCAAATCATTTTTTGTTCACTTTTGAGCCCCCACCCCTCAATAAGTCTCTGCAGAAACCTGGTCACAAGGGCATCCCTGAGTTACAGTTAAACTTTACTGGCTTAGTTTCAAATTCATGAAGGGTATATTTTTAATGACAACGTTGAAATGTGTCATTATGATGCTTAATAGAGCTTGTTATAGTAAGCAAGCATCGTAATATACAGTATACACTTTTATTCTTTTTATTTTATATGCTTATACTTTAATTATATATTTGTTTTACTTCTAATTTATGTCTGTTCTTTTATTTACTGTAAAGCACCCTGATTGACCCCTGTGTATGGAAAAGTACCATACAAAATACTAGCCTTGCCTGTCATTGAGAACAGGACCGCGATCATCTTTCTGATGTGGGTCCTGAATTTGCCCCAAACACAGCATACCAATGCATCTCTCCAGCTCCTCACGTCGATCGAGTTTAAATTGTTTTCTGAGGGTCTTCCTTCCATGTTTCGATATCCCAGATATTAATGAGTGCGCTCTGTGGACTCACGGCTGCACCCTGGGCTGCGAGAACATTCCGGGCTCCTACGTCTGTACCTGTCCTAAGGGATTTGTGCTTCTTCCGGACATGAAAACCTGTCGTGGTGAGATTCTGTGCTGTTTCTTGAACAGTTATGGGTTTACTTACAATTCATGCTGGTTAAGGCTGGTGGTGTGGTAGGTTGTTTTGTCTTCATATGGTTGAATTCAGTTCAGTTATATAGCGGCTTTCACGAGAGTCACCTCAAGGAACTTTACACGGGTGTGTTGTGATACATTGCAAAATCATTAAGACAGAATAACACAAAACAAGAAAAAGGGAAGATGATAGATAGATAGATAGATAGATGGATGGATGGATGGATGGATGGATAGATAGATAGATAGATTGACTGATTGATTGATTGATTTGGGTACAGGCTTCCTATAGTGCTATTGACACCTGATCCCTACCATGGACTGGACCCCCATCCATGGTGTCCCCTGCCTTATGCACTGTGCTTCCTGGAATAGGCAACAAATGATATACCTAATATATGAATATATAGGTGATCTGAACTCTACAGACTCAGAAGTGCAAAGTCAGGGATAATAATACTTAATTATAAAGTAAACAAAACCTCTCCTTTAAGAATTATTTTTATTACGATTTTCATCTATACTTTTCATATTCATGATATGGTAATACTTTTATTAACACCCAGTAAAAATGTAGCAATGTTTATAAGTGCGAGCTTGCAGAAGCCCAGTACTTAAAAGAAAGGCCTGCCAGACTTCCAGTTTTTTAATGTAATTCTTGCCAGGAATCCTGTCCCTGTAGGAGACACAGGGAGACTCTGCCCTGACTATGAACTGTTATGCTGTCGTATGTGACATCGTGCTAGAACTCTGAACCCAGCGGTGCAGCCAGACTAGGCCACGAGGTGACACTTGTAATATGGAGCATATGTAGTCTGCAGCGTTCTTATGGTAAGCTGGTTTAGCATGTAGACAGCGTCCAGTATATGAACACTGCTTGATGCTGTATAGTGTTATATGGGGGGATAGAAACAGAAAAGGTGGGCCACCTACTGCTAGACTGCCAGATACCCCTCCTGCTATGCTAGCTGAACCTCTAGCTGTTAGCTACACCCCTAGTGTTATGCTAATGAATGTCTGTGCTATGCTAGCATGACTCCTCCTGCTATGCTACCTGAACCTCTGTTAGCTACACCCCTAGTGCTATGCTAATGAATGTCTCTGCTATGCTAGCATGACCCCTCCTACTATGCTACCTGAACCTCTGTGTTAGCTATACCCCTAGTGCTATGCTAATGAATGTCTGTGCTATGCTAGCCTGACCCCTCCTGTTATGCTACCTGAACCTCTGTGTTAGCTATACCCCTAGTGCTATGCTAATGAATGTATGTGCTATGCTAGCATGACTCCTCCTGCTATGCTAGCTGAACCTCTATGCTGCTAGGCTTACTGGAGCTTTCCTTCCAAGCCAGCACCAATTACTGACACTGTAACTAGTGTCTCTTCGCGGTACAGGTTGGGTACGGCCTGGTTCCTGTTTGCAAGTGAAAAAGCGTTTTAAGATTATGATTATGGATTTCCTAGCAGTGAGGTAAAAATGATAATTACCTTAAAACTCATATCATGGGGAAAAACCTATGTATCCTTCCTAGTGACAGATAACAACCAATTTTCTTCGGTGTAGTTTCAGTTCTTTGAGTTACCTTAAATATATTCATGAACTTTAACCAGTAAAATGCCAGGATCTGAGTCATAGTTCTAAGCAAATTCATACTATTTTTTAAGGTGCTCATTATTGATAGCAGTTTTATTGTTCCATCCATCTTATAACTGCATATCATTTATTTATTTATATAATGAATTTAATAAACTTTGTATTATTACCAAAATGTATGCAGTAATACACATTAATTGCAATAACATAAAATTGGTTTAAAAGTCATTCCAATACTGGTCTTGGGATTTAGAAAATCAAACTCGACTGTTGAGTGGGAGTATCAGGCAGTGTTATTATAGCTTGGATTTTTTTTAATTTGGTTTTTACTTATATATCATTCTCAATTTTCATTTGAATTTTAGTTAGTTTTCAGCGTGGTTTTATTTATATTTATTTAAAAGATATATTTCCATTTAGTTTTTATATATTTCAATTGAAGTTTTAGTAAGTTTATTTTTAGGGATGGACTGAAAGTTGTAGAGCTATTTTATGTCTTATCTTTCGAGAATCCTGCATGCATACATTAAGGCCTAATGTCCTTAGCATGTTCCAGGTATTACTGATAGTAATTAAAGTTGAACAGATGATTACTTTCGCTATTAAGGTAGTATTTAAAATGGTTACGGAGGGAATTGTATATAACATTTTTTTTTTTATCTTACTTAGTTTTTGTATTTATTTTAGTTCATTTATGAAGCAATATTTACTGTCTTGTGTTTTTTTTTTTCATTTTATGTTGCACCTTATTTTATTTCAGTTTGTGAAAATGATTGCTTATGGTTTTGGTTGTTGTCTGTGATAATGACCCTGGTCGGAGGGAGTGTGGAGTGCGTAATAACCAGGGCTTTGGCCACTGACAGCCGAGCGCAGGGCTGTCCCACGCGTGTGCACCCTGATGTCACGCAGGGCTCTGACGGGCTTGGTCCTTCTTTCCATCTCCTCGGCATCCAGAAACTCATCCAGTGTTTCATGTAAACATTAACATGATGCAGTTTTACCGTGTAATGATTGAGATTCATGTCATACTTCGACGTATCTGCCTACAGTTTTGACAGATTCCAGTCATCCAGGACTCTGCGTGTAATGTTGACATGAATATTAACATGCGTATTAAGTACTAATAAAGCTTGTTTATTTATTTCCTTGTTATGTATGCCTTGGGTTACTCTTTCGCTTTGTTTCTATAGCAAAATATAGAGTGAAAATGGTCCGAATCAGTCAGTTACTAATTTAATGTTTTACAACCCAGTCCTCTGGGACCTTAAAACAGTCCACATTTTTATTCTCTCCTAGTGCCCAACACACCCATATTAGGTATTCAGTGTTTCTTGATTGGTTGGGAGCCTGGCAGGGGCAAAAAAGTGGACTGTTTTGGGATCCCTGAGAACTGGATTGGGGAACACTGCACTAATTACTTGAAAATTGAGGAATCTGTAGCCGCAGCCACTTCACCCAACTCCCACCCTACAACCCCCCCCCCCCCCAGAGCTGACACCGTGTGCGAAGACGACGCCCACCTGCAAACACGGCTGCATCCAAACAGATGACGGAGATGTCTGCGCATGCCTGGCGGGGTCCGTCCTGCAGCCGGACGGGACGACCTGCACCGGTGAGGGTAGCATGAAGTGAGACATGGTCAGAAATCAGCAGTCCCGGTCCCAGCTGAGCAGGGGGGGGGACGCTCCCACCTACAGGGTGCTCTCTGCAAGACAACGGGGGCTGCAGCCAGGAGTGTGTGCCCCTGGGCCCGGGTGGATGGGACTGCCAGTGCCGCCCCGGGTACAGCCTGCAGGGCGACGGGAGGAGCTGCAAGGCCACAGGCGAGTCCTCTCCACTCCACACACTGACACACAAGGGGGTCCGGCAAGACCCACATCCCCCGTTACCTTGGCAACCGCATCCGGTACCCAAAACCATTACATCTACTAATAAAGGAAGACTAGTGCTCAAAAGGACTGGGCCTGGTACCATGCCAATAATATAATATAATATAATATAATATCATATAATATAATATAATATAATATAATATAATATAATATAATATAATATAATATAATATAATAAATGGACAAGTGGTATAAAAAAAGTATAATGAATTATTATATTACAATATATTTCAATAAATGTTAAACTATTCCTGTATTAATAGGATATTTTATATAGAATAACATGCTTTATTGTTACATTAAGTGGCTTGTTCTTTAATGTTTATACTGCAGGTCCTCGTCCGTATCTGATATTCGCCAATGCCATAGACGTCCGCCGCATGGACTGGGACGGCACAGGGGACCGGGGTCTGCTGCAGGAGCCGCGGGGAGCCATCTTAGCCCTGGACTACGACCCAGTGGAGAGGAAGGTGAGCAGGTGTTAGTAGTGGCAAGAAGTTTCTGATCTTAGTGTTAAGTGGACGGACAAACTTTTAGACTCATAATTAATCTATCAAATTGCAGCATTATATGGAATGGATATGAAAAGCAGTTTAGTTTTAGTTACACTTAATGAAGCAAACAATCCAGTGATCTGTCTAATGGTTCCTGAATGACATTTTATGTCAAGCACTTGAATGTTGTTAAACATCTTGCTACAATGAAGAGCCTGACCTATTAACCTAAAAAGTAGTTTCTAAACTGGTTGTTGTTCAGTTTTTATAGATAGCCATCGAAGAGGAAATTCCCCAGACGAAACGCTGCATGTCCATACTTGCTGCCCCCTGCTGGTTGTTTGCAATGAGTGCAATATTTGTGTCCAGACATAAAATTCGGTAGAGGAGAAAGCCTTTGTCATAATGCTACTTGTGTGTTTGTTAGTGGGTATATGTGTGTATGATGCATTATAGTGTACGTGCAATAATATGTGAGGTACATATGGGTTATATGATATATATGTGATATATGTATATGTGTACATGCGTATGATTGGGGGTTTGGTGGTCCGTAGGTGTACTATGCCAGCAGCAGCCTGCGACGAATCGAGCGAGCTAGCCTGGATGGCAGCGACCGCGAAGTATTGGTGAGCGAGGGATTGGACACCCCTGAGGGCCTGGCCGTGGACTGGATTCACCGCAAGCTGTACTGGACAGACCGGGGGTGGGTCCCTTGACCAGCAAGAGCAGCCAGAGAGACAGACACCAGCACAGCAGATGGGAGGGAAATCCCACTTGTCGCTTCTGCTACGGTGGATTTGCACACTGCCTCATTTTTTCCCCATTTCCCAGCATGCACTGTAACGTCTGTTACATCTACACAAAAGATTTCTGATCTTCTCTGTCATATTTCCTACAATGCGATTGATAAGTAGCATTAAGTAATAAGTGGTCAGAGATGAGCTTTAGTGTACACAACACCTCTCTTCCACCTCAGACTCTCGACTATCGAGCGGAGCGACCTAAACGGACTCGAGAGGGAAATCATTATCGACCGAGAGCTACAGAAACCTAGAGGAATCGCTGTTCATCCCCAGGCAAAGTGAGATCCTTCTCAACAGTGGATGTCTTCAGAATGTACTCTCCCCACTACAGAAATTGCCAGTGTAACCCCTACAGATCAGATGTTTCTCTTGAGGACATGCACCCATTTAAATTATGTCACTTTCCAACATTCAAATCATAGCACTGCTCACTTGCGTAAGGGCACCAGAACCCAGTCTGTTTGGGACTCAATCCAGAATCCCAGGCTGTGAATTTCTTAAATAGAACACTACCCGCTGTTACACCAAATACTTTTTAATTGGTTAATTCTTTACCTCTGCTTTTGATCTCTTGCCTTCTTTAAGGGTAAAACTCTTAGATGTCTATTCCAGTGATTGATTAATCTGTTGGTGTCACTCCACATGACTTTTATCTAAGTAAGGAAAGCTTGGGGTCAGAGTGCAAGGGTCAGCTGGCATCAAGTGTAGCTGGAGCAGGTGAGGTTAAAGTCCTTACTCAAAAACCCAACATATATGTGATTATTCTGCCTGCCATGGGATCTGAACCCACAACCTTCTGGACATAGGAGGACCCTGACCCACTGAGCTACACACTACCCCCTAGTCATTAGTTTATCTGATCTGTACTAGCGATGAGTATTATGGGGATGACCTGACACTGATCCAAGCCGTTTGGCGTCGTGTGTTCCTTAGGAGGTTGTTCTGGACAGACATGGGTGAGACGCCAGCCGTGGGAAGTGCTTCTTTGGACGGGGAAGACCGGGCAGTGGTGGTTAGCACTGGCCTGCTGGAACCCAGTGGCGTCGCAGTGGACTATGCCGAGGGGCGACTCTATTGGTGCGACAGCAAGATGGGGGTCATCGAGGAGGCGGGCCTGGATGGGTCCACCCGCCGCGTCTTGGTCGAGAACCAAGTAGGTGAGGCTTCTAAGGCAGGTGTTCTGACTGGGTCAGGGTACCCCGGACCGGTCCCTTGGGACTAACTGCGGTCCCGCTGGCTTCCGTCCTAGGTCGTCCGTTTGACATCGCTGTCTTCGAGGACCTGCTCTGGGTCACTGACTGGGACCGGTATGTGGTTCTGCGGCTGAACAAGCGCACCGGACAGAACCTGGAGCGTGTCTCTGGTGACGTGGTCAGGCCAGCCTCCCTGGTGGTCGTCCATCCACTCGCCAAACCGGGTATGACAAAAACAGACCCCCCTGTTCTATGTTAATCGGCCACATTCTCCTATAGAGAACTTCTGCAAAGTAGAGAGAACAGCTGTGCTTAATCCTGATTGGCTGTGCCGTGCAGGTGCAGATGCCTGCTTGCATAATAATGGAGGGTGTGACCAGCTGTGTGAAAGCAGGTTTGGATTGGCCCAGTGCTCCTGTCACTCAGACTTCATCGAGTCTCCCAGTGGTGGAACCTGCCTGCCGTCCAATTCAACTGGGCCAAGTCTAGGTGGGCAGCACTTCTCTTAGCTTTCCTTTGCCGTTAGGGCAATGCCCTGTGGCATCAGGAACTGAAGGAGCTGGTTGTCATAGATCAGGGTTCCCCAGTTCTGGACCAGAATCCACACGGTTTCCAGATTTCCCTGCTCAAACACACCTGAATCGGCTAATTACCAGTTTTTTTAGGTGTATTGGAGCAAAGAAACCTTTGTTGGATTCTGGCCCTACAGGACTGTAATTGGGGAACTCAGTCAAAGACACTTCCTGCTTCTCTCTGCACCATGCGGAAGATAAACATGGGTCACTGGACCTTTGTTTCAGCAAATGAATCATCTGATTGTTGGTATCCAGGATGGGTGGGGGGGGGGTAAGCTTAAATCTTTAGAAACACCCTTCTCCCAGTGCACTTCCAGTAAGCTTAAATCTTTAGAAACACCCTTATTCCAGTGCACTTCCAGTAAGCTTAAATCTTTAGAAACAGCCTTCTTCCAGTGCGCTTCCAGTAAGCTTAAATCTTTAGAAACACCCTTCTTCCAGTGCACTTCCAGTAAGCTTAAATCTTTAGAAACAGCCTTCTTCCAGTGCGCTTCCAGTAAGCTTAAATCTTTAGAAACACCCTTCTCCCAGTGCGCTTCCAGTAAGCTTAAATCTTTAGAAACACCCTTCTCCCAGTGCACTTCCAGTCCGGAGAATCTGGAGATGATGAGACCCACAAAGCCGTGGTCTTGAAGAACGAGACGCTAAGTGATGAAGCTCCTCTGGTGAAGGAGTCGGGGCCGGAGCCCACCATGGAGGACCAGGCGGTGGTCACCTTGGCCACGGAAAAGATGGTGTCAGGTGAGGACGTGGACTTCTGGTGTCGAAGCACCACCTTTCAACAAAACACTTTTGCTTTTCCTGACTTCAAACCAAACAAATTTAATCTTCCAACCATATTATATGTTTTTTTTGTCAATGTGGTTGTGTGCCTAAGACTGTTTATTTTATATTTTGCCCATAACTGTCGTTTGGTCCCGACCCGCTGCAGACCAGGACTGCTCCTCCCTGCTTTGCCCCACTCATGCGCGCTGTCTCCAGGGTGCGGGAAGCTCCACCTGCCAGTGTCTGGAGGGCTTCATCAGTGTCGGGAAGCAGTGTGTGGGTGGGTGAGAAGGGCGGGGCTGCAGTGCGGAAGCCCATTGGCTGGGAGGAGGAGGGTTGGCCCAAGGGGTGTGGTTATCATTTACATAAACAGGAAGTGGCCCTCCTGTTGCATTTAAAGTCACCCCTTCGTACTCGTATCTATCTGTCAGTTAAACTTACTTCAGCATGGATTTTTACACGATAAAACAAGTTCATTTGCAGGTTTAGTTGTGTCTCCCCCCACATCTTATTTACGCTTTGGAACGGAACGCTTATGTCCGTGGAAACAGGAAAGATCAGCCACCTGGTTAAGCTCTGCACATGCTGCATTATGACTGTCTTTTGTGGAGCAGACAGGTAGCCGATAGGAACACACAGCTGGTGCAGCTGCGCTGTGACCTATTAGTGGCTGGAATGACGCCGTAATGAATTTCTCCGTTTATGATGTGTGTTATAAGGTATCCATGTCCCGCTCAGTCGGGTTTTGTCCTTAGAAAGTCCTTCCTAATAAGGCTTTCTGGAAGGTTCTGGGGGCATGTAGGTGGTATTGTGGTTAAGGGGGTGATCCTGTAAGCGAAATGCTGCCGATTGGACAGTGAGGTCACTGGGATTGTGCCGTTAAACGCAGCACTAATCTAAATAATCCCAGGGTACACATCACCATTTCATGCCTGTGAAAGTCGATCCTGAGATGAGCCTGCAGTCAGGGAAGCTGCCAGGCTGGGATGCTTCTGGGTGCCAAACCGCACATGCACACTCCCATTACACACTGGTGAATTCCCACTTTAACCATCAAAAAGCTTTAGTCAACACGGTGAAACACATTTTTTTGTAATTGTTTCTAATAAGGATGTAAGTACTATGTGCGCATGTATTATAAATGTAATGTTTAATACTGATTATGATCATTTTATATACATATTTATATTCCACCCTGTGTGTTTCTTGCTTAAACAGCCTAACTTGGCTGCTAACAGGGATGTACTTTGTCTAAATGAGATTTTTGTTCGTTTTTCTCCCCTTGGTGACGCCGCAGAGTCTCCCCGCGCCTCTTGGGTGACCACGGACACCCCCGCGGATGTGACCACACAGGGGCAGAACCGAGATCGTGTGGAGAATTGCCCCCTGTCCCACGAAACCTTCTGCCTGAACGACGGAGTCTGCTTGTACTTCCCCGAAATCCAGTCCTACGCTTGCAAGCACGTACCCGAACGCGCCCTTGCACATCTCACACCAACAGGTTGACTAGTAGGAGGCGCTGACAGGCAGCTAACTGAAGGAAGCACACTGAATATGACCCATAAGTTAGTGCAATACTAAGAGTGACCAGCAGATGGCAGCAGTGTACTGTAGACTAACCACATCTTGAAATTGTGTCTTTTGGGAGGCTGATGCGTGAGTGTGAATGTCTGTGCTCCTGTCAGATCGCGTGTGTGTGTGGGGCTAACAGGGTCATGCTCTCCCCAGCTGCGTGTCCGGCTTCATGGGCGAGCGCTGTCAGTTCAGCGACCTGGAGTGGTGGCAACTGCAGCAGGCCGAGCAGCAGAAGCGACTCAACGTGACCATCGGCGTCTGCGTGCTGCTGCTCGTCACGCTGCTCTCCGTGGGCGTTGGCGCCATCTACTGCTACAGGTGGGTCAGAGCCGCCACTTTTGAATATGATGTTTAAAAGTGAGAAAACAGTCCATCCAACACGTTACGTCTGATCAGGGGTGTCGCTACAGATTTTGGGCCCCAACCCAGTCCAATCATATTATGTTCCAAATTTTTTAGAGCCCCTGTTGCTCCAGTGTAGTACAGAACCCAAC